ACCAGCCAGTCATATTCCACTGGTGTATGCATATTCCATTATCTCACTTTTATTCCTTTCCAGACTGGCATTTTTCTTTTTCGTTTACGTCGTGTTTTTACATTTTCACCTATTTTTTTCTGCGTTCGTTACCGAGGCCGCGTATATAAGATGATTAATTTCTGTCAGGTCCATCGTTCTTTCTAATTCGTCCCTTATTTTCCTAATTGCTTATTTAGCGAGGTTGATATTTTTCTTCTCTTGGTGGTTCTTTCTTGCTTTTGGAATTGTCGGCCTTTCCTTGAAACACTACATTCTTCGGTTTATATCGGATGTTTTTGTCATCTCTGTTTCTCTCATATTCGTCATTATCTTCATCTATTTGCTTGTGTACCTTACAGAGATTATTGCAACTGACTTTTCCTCTTCATATGTCTCCTTAGGGTTGACATTTCGCCCCTCGATGTTAACATTTAATCTGTTTTTAATGTTTTCCCGGATGCTTTCGAGTTCTATGTCAGGATTTTTTTTTTCCTGGTGATGTCACGCCTGACATTGGCTAATTTGTTAGCATCGATGTTTAGTCTTTTTGCGGGGGGGGGTCTTGCCAGATATTATAGGCGGCTTTGGTCTTTTATCGTCGAATTTATCGTAGTGGTGTAAAAGGTTACCATTACTTCAATATACTCTTCCCTAGACCATTTATTAAATGTTCTTTTTGTGGGATTTTCTTTAAATGAATATAGAGAGCCTCTTTGAGGACTACCCTCGGCGTAGTTTTCCTCTAATTCTCATTGGGTAGAGTTTGTTTCAGTTGAAGACTTTTCGATCCCAGTCTGGATCCTCTTTGGGGATCGCAGTCCTTGTTGACCCGCGTGACGACTGATGCGGTTTATCAATATTTTTCGTTGCGTCAGCATTATAGTTAGTTTGTATGTATTTACACATACGCAGCGGCTGGTTCGTGGGTATCACAGAATATCCATACCATTGTAGGCCATCACGTACATATAATTAATAATATTCACTGAGTTATGTTTTTTGTTTTCGTGTGAAAATCATGTTCTGTTGGTTTTTTCTTTGAACAGAGTGATTTTGTGTGCAACTGATGCCCGGTTTATTTGTGCACTAATAAAAAATTATACCTATGTTTTGAAGAAATCATATTTCATTTTTCAAATTACAAAGCGTTCGGTGAATGCAAAGATGAAAACTTGCGGGGTCCAGTATTACCAACAAGGTTAAGAATCACTCTATTAGAAAAATTGTCTTAGTTTTGTGTTCAAGCTGATATCTGTCTATATTTCTGAGATGTGGTATTATGTACACTATTTACATTATTCGGACTATTGTCCTCATCTTTGTTGCCATATTTATTACAACGTTTCGGCCTTTCAGTATCTGTCTATATTTCTGAGATGAGGTATTATGTACACTATTTACATTATTCGGACTATTGTTCTCATCTTTCTTGTCATATTCATTACAACGTTTCGGCCCTTCAGTATCTGTCTATATTTCTGAGATGAGGTATTATGTACAATATTTAGATTATTCGGACTATCGTCCTCATCTTTGACGCCATATTTATTACAACGTTGCGGCTTTTCAGTATCTGCCTATATTTCTGAGATGAGGTATTATGTGCGCTATTTACATTATTCGGACTATTGTCCTCATCTTTGTCACCATATTTATTAAGTTGATTTTTCATATTCCTATTTACCCTTGTTTGTATTTTCAGACTAACTAGTTTTATTTATATGCATTTATGTATTTATTTTTCTAGTCTTACCCATTTGGTTATTAATAAACCTTCCGATGTATGGGACTTTGTCTTCTTCAGAGTTTTAATTGGCTTAAGATGTCCATTTTGCTGTCTTCGGGATTACGCATGCGTATGACACGGACGCGTCCTCTCGGGGGTAGAACAAAGTGACAGCATATCCCTAAATCCCTACTGAAGAACGGCCCTAAAATCAATTTTCAATCTATTTTTATTTCATAGTTACCGAGTTTTGCTACCTTGTCGAAATTACCGAATTTTTCATTGCCGAATTCAACATTACCGAATTTTATGTGACCAAATTTCCCTAAAACCAAAATCTATACTGTGCAGTCGAAGCTTTCGATTTGAGTCATTCTCAGGAAAATGTGAGCGAGAAAAGGAAAGTAAAATTACGTGTGTTTTAAGCAACACGTTATTTTTATTTATTTATTTTTTTACTAGCAACCATGCCCAACTGGTCGATAAGAAAAAGCATTCAATTAGAATGGAACAAAAACAGAATCATGTTTAGAGTCTATCTTCTTCAATTACTTTAAAGTACTTTCATTAAAAACATTTTGAATTAATGCAGTTACTAATATCACAGAAGAAGTCTGTATTTATTCAATCGAAGTTAGCTGAGGACATGAAGGGGTAAAACAGGCAACATGAAGACCCACTTCAGATCACAATTATTTTGAAGTTTTTGAAATGCAATTTGTCAGTGTGCTACCAGGGACATAAAAAAGGATACATTTATAAAGCAATTGTTAAGTTTGATAAAAATTGGTTGAAAGATCAGCAAAAAATAAGAAAGAAACCAGTAAAAATCGCTATTTTTCGCGATTTATGCGGGTTTTGCTATATGGGTGGACTCAATTATCAAGTTAAATGACTGTTAAATAACAAAGTTATTGTTGGCTACAATTGAGTGAAGTTTGTATTAGATTGCTTGAAAATTGAAGGAGTTTTTAGTTTAAAATTTGTGTTGAAATCGATTTTGGGTTTTTCGCGGTTTTTCGCTAAACACAATAGCATAGAAATAAAAATGAGGTATCGTTGAGCTCGTCATGATGTAAGTAACCTCGATACCGAGCTTGAACGAAATCGGAAGAAAAAAGTTGAATTTTTCGATTTTTGATCGGCTTTATCGATTATTTATTTTTTTAAATATTATCGATTTTTTACGCTAAGAACCTATCTCTTACATTGTACAATGTATGTGCCAAGTTTGGTCAAAATCAGTTGGATGGGTCTCGAGTGAAAAGGTATCACACAGACAGACATCCTCTATTTTATATAGAGATATTTTACTTATTTATTATGTATTTTCTTTATTGGATTTATTTATTACTTTAATTGTATTTTTTTAATTACTTAATTTACTTTTTTCTTTTTTTGACAGCTAAATCCAATATGGCGGAATGCAACAAATTAAGTTAATTTAGTGTGTAATGGCAATCTTTTCCTTTATTCCTAATCAGATTTGCTCTTTTAGGCTGAAAAAGGTTGTGTTTAAATTCTAAAATCTATCGAAATTCCAAGGGGTTTATTATCTCATGCCTCTGCTTTTCTATCACTTTTTCCTGTATCTTCTAATTTTCTCCTGTATACCTCCCAACACTACAAAGATTATCCATTATCTAATCCAGTGCTTTTCAACCCTTTTGCTAGAGCGGAACCACAAGGAAACATTCCCGTGGCTCGAGGAACCCTTGCAATAAATTAATTGTCTTATGTAAAAAAAAAGCTTTCAATTATTAAAATAAAATAAAAATACTCAGATTTATTTACAAAAAAATACAAAAGATAAACTGTAAAAATATTGTATATGTACATATTCAATTTTAATCTTGCTTCTATGGTTATTATACATGTATTTAAAAAAACTTCATTTTAAATGGATTATATTTATTATCATTAAAGATTCAATGAGAACTTGAGCCTGATGTTTCTTGCACAAATCTTTAATATTGGGTTGTGTTTTTGACAGACGAAGTTCATCTTCCACAGACAGCAATTTCCAAATTAATGTGTTTGTCACCGAAAAAAGCGGGTTTTTTTAATTTTTACGTTTTCCATTGTAAAACAGTCGTAACGTTTGTTTAACCGCTAACTCAAATCAAAATAAAATTTTCTGACAAAATTTCGAAAATGTTCGAAGGGATTAAACATTTTTTTTTAAAAATAATTAAAAATTACTTTGATCTTTCTTCTTAATAAAAAATATAAACATTTTGATGGAAAAAGTTTGTTTTATTAAGTTTGGGATCTTTTTTTTTTTAATTCATACTATGCTGTTTTGTTATTGATTTAGTGGAGGTACCTAAGCACACATATCTGTACAGGAGAATTAAAAATTACTGTCAATCATAGTACTTGTGTAACTTCTTGCGGAACCTCTGGGTTTTACTGGCGGAACGCTAGGTTTCCGCAGAACCCTGGTTGAAAACCACTGATCTAATCCTTTTTCTCTTTTTCCACCCATCGTATCTTCTCTCTTATCCATTCAAATACGATAAAAACTATCCATTATTTCATGGCGTTCCTCTTCTCTCACCTTTTACCTG